TTTTTTCATTCATTCTTTAGTGTAAAGAAAAAAAAATTAAAACTTATTTTTTTGCGGCTATATTGTTATTTAGTTTTTGTATTTGTAAAAATAAAATAAAAATGGGGGATTTATAATAAGTTTTACAAGAAAATTATTGAAAACATAAATAAATTTGACCATCAAAATAATAAATTTAAATTAGTCATTGAAACAAAAAAGTAAAAAAAAATACGTGTGAGGAGGATCAAACATACTACATATGGATTATATTTTTTTCAAAAAAATAATTAAAAAATAAATTAAAATTAATTTTTCACTTCCGTTAGATGAAAAGGGTATATGCGAGTCATTTGTATAACAATATGAGTATATATGAGTCATTTTCATAATGAGAGGTATATCAGATCTAAATGACAAAGTTGAGGGGTATATCAGACCCTTTTGTAGGAAATAAACCAAGAGTAGGGTTCCTAAGTAGTTTAGGATTCCTTAATAGTTTAGGATTTGTTATTTTTTGGCATTTACTTATTTCTGTTTAATTAGGATTTATTAGTTAGGTAGGTTCCTAAACCTAGTTTAATTTGGTTGTTAATATTATTAATAAGGGTGCCTTTATTACATATTTTCAATGTGTAGCAAGATACATTCAATGTACAAAAATATTAGAGTTATTGAGTTATTTAATAAAACCACCTACCTCATATTTGTTGATTAATAAGTTTCTTATACATAGCTATTGTTGGGTCTTTCACTTGTGTATATATTATTACTTTGGGTAATTTTATTTCCTTCAAATTGGTAACAAAGCTTGTGTGTGATCCTAATTATAAAAGCCTTAAATTGCAAAGAAGGCTTCAATAGTGGTCAATCTAATAAGTCAATAATTTCTTAAACAACTAAGCAGAAAAATTTGGTGGAAACTGATGTTGCTTCGATAGAGGCTAGTAATTTAAGCCACGAGACATGTGATAGACATGATTGGTCTTACAAAGTGAAGTTATTGGAAAAGAAATAAAAATATTCATTATTGTCTTACAAGAAAAATTAGTTGAAACTTTTGAAGATGAAGCTATTGATAAAAGAAGCAAAACTGATCATCAAGAGCAAGTTGTTTGATAGTCTACCCAAAATTGAAGCAAAAATAATTAAAGTTCTAGATCCGCAACTGAAGTGCATGACTATGAATAGTGATGATACAATCAACTCTGAAACATTATTCAAAATTATAGGTTTAGAAGAGCATGATAAATTATTTGTTGAAGATCCTACTTTACCACATACACGATCAACTAAAGTCGAATGGACATACAAGACCAACTACAAGTCAATTGGAGAAGCAACCGATTTTAAGGCAAGAACAATTATTCAAGAATACAAGAAAAGAAAAAAAAATGATGATGATACTTTTAAAATATTAAATATTAAGAAAGTTAAATTGATCTTGAATTTTGCTGAAGAGAACTTGAAGTTGACCAAAGATGGCACACACAATTTTGTTGGTGCTACATATTTCAAAAAGTTGAAGAAGATGCTAGGCATGGTCACAATTGAAGATCTTGGTTTAAGGGAGGCTATGTAGGAAATAAACCAAGAGTAGGATTCCACTACAACGAAAACAACGTTTAGCGGCAAGAATAGACACATTAACAAAGAGTGCTAAAGTTTTTACCGGCATTAGTTAAGTGCCATTAGATCCAATGTCACTAAAGGCTTTAGGAACATATACAAAGAGTGCTAATTTCCACTAAAAATACATTGCGGCAATTGAGCTATTGCCGCTAAAGATAATTTTTATGTAGTGTTCCTTAATAGTTTAGGATTTGCTATTTATGGTATTTACTTATTTCTGTTTAATTAAGATTTGTTAGCTCGGTAGAATCCTAGTCCTAGTTTAATTTGGTTGTTAGTATTATAAATAGGGTTACCTTATTATATTTTCAATGCAATGAGAGATACATTCAATGTGTAGAGAAATACACTCAATACTCAATGTAGTAATACATGAGTTATTTAATAAATCTCCTATCTCCTATTTGTTGATTAATAAGTTTCTTCTATATAACCGTTGTTGAGTCTCTCACTTGTGCATATATTATTACCTTGAGTAATTTTATTTGCTTCTACTTTTCCCTGGTATTTATTATGTTTCTTCTTGTTAGCAAAGTTAGAAACATATATAAACTAATCAATGTACAATAGTATTTATTTCACCAATAACTTACTATACTCATAAATATATCTGAAATCATATTTAACTTGTAAGAGCCCACAAACTTAAGTAAATAAATTCACAGTTCAATTGCACATGATAGAGATGTAATTGTTGAAAGGACAAATGAAAATGAATGCCTGAATTAATTTTTGCTCTTAATATCAAAGATTAAAGTAAGTTAGGGTTAATCTTGCAATAGGTAAGCTAGGGTTTTCTACTTGAGGCCTAACTAATTAAAATTTGTGCTGCGTGAGAGCTATTTAAGGTGGAAGCCTTCTCTAAAAAGATTTTTTTTCATGTTCAGAATTTGAACATGAGACGTCTGATGATGAAGATATCATATTCATCCCATCACAATCTTTGTCAGTTTACTTCTCGGATAACTGGATAATTATCAAGCAAATGTAATTAAATTGACTTTTAATTCTTCTAAAAATGCTGTGATTATTTGCCCAATTCATTTTCATTTTTAAAGAAATTAGAGGCTAGGACTTGTCGCTGTTATAGAGTTATAATTTTTTTTAAAAAAGATCTGCAGAATCAGTTGGAGTAACTCTTTAATAGTAAAAGCTGTACGTAAATATAGACAACTAACAGATTTTTCTGAATTATATAAATAAAAAGATAAGTCATGATGACAATTTCAAATTTCAGTAAAATTAAGCTTCTTTATTTTTTTTCTACTTATTGGGTAAAACTTTTAACGTAACACATATATAGGGTTCGAGTCAAAGCTATACTAAATTCATATGGGTTACACCATACTTAGGTATCCATCATTGTGCGTATTAAGAAGTTAATTAACTAAATCAAATATTTCATTGTGAATTCCGTTAATATTGTAAATTAATTTAAAATTGATAACTATAGAAATCATAAACTTCACATCCATCCGAACATCGTCATTATTTTTTTTTAAAAAAGTTGTGGCAAACTGGCACTAGAATATGGCAGAGCTAGATGGAGAGCCACACAGTTCACTATCAGTTCTGTTAGTCTGTCTGGGATTTTTCCGGGTCCATTTATGATTGTTATTTTTTTTGGTATGTAATGTCTATATCTCTCAATAGTTCAACTCACATATATGGCGACAGTTCGAATATTATTTCAAGTTAATCATAAATTGACTAATTTTATGTTGATTTAGTCTATCGTACGTAGCCTTATCTTTCTTTTTTATCTGGACTTTGTATGTGCGTTCGAGCAAGCATAATCACTCTAAATTGCCCAGTAAATTTGCCAAAATATTATAAATACCAGCAAGTGCAAAGAATTTTACTCAATTGAGTATAAGATGATATATATTCCTTTCGTTTCAATTTGTTTATCTGGTTTTAACTTGATACGGAGATTTAGAAAGTGAAGAAAACTTTGAATATTTGTAGTCCTAAAGTAAATGTTAAATGTACCAAAATACATGTTTTTTAATCTTATGATCTTAAACATGCCACGTGAAAAGTTGAAATTAAAGAGTTATCATAAAAAAGAAAGAGACATTCTTCTTGAAGTGGACTAAAAAGAAAGCTAGACAAGCAAATTGAAACTGAGGGAGTACAACTGTACAAGTACTAGACAATGCAAATATTAATTTTAAACAATTAAAGTATAACATGCTATACATGTAGTTTATTTTCCAGCTCTAAGTTGTGCAAAACTCTTCACTTTCGATATCATACTTATGTTGGATTCTCCAAAACACACAACTTTTGGAGAATCTGCCACGCACCTGTTGATATTTTTGAAGAGTCTGAGCAACATATATATATATAAATAAATATATATATAGTACCAGGTTCACTATGAAGATTAATTATCTGTTTTGTAGTCTATGATGGTGTAAAAGATATGTGCACTCATGACCAGTATTTAAACTCTTTCTTGCAAAAAACATTGTCACTTTTCCTTCTCCATTCACTCATATAATATATAGTTGGTGTTTCATCATTCTTGATAATGATAACCTAATCATGCATTGACAATCATAACTTGTAACATACTTTTCTTAATTTGGAAATTTATGCATATTGTCTATGCCTAACAGTTGAAACTTCTGCATTTGTGGAGTTTCTTTCTATAGCTAGCACAAAAAAATAAAATACTACCCCATACAAAAGTATGCTAGATATGAAAAAATAGAATATAATTCAAAGTGATGATAAAATACTAAAGTTGATTTAAGTTAGTACAATCAAAATTGCTACATATGTTATTTCTCACTGCAAAAATAAGTGTGGTCCTCTCTGTGTGTGTACAAAATAAGTATTGCTGGTCCCTCCTCTATACAAATGTAGCTGTTCTACTATCAATTATCTCATCCAGCTATTGCACCACAACTTTGCCATCCCCACTTGCTACAAATTTTTTTTTAATCTATATTTGATGGCATTTATCTTAATTAATTGAACCACAACAAAATTGAAATAACAATTTTTAATGCAATAAAAACTTTACTAGTAGTTGATAAGCTACTTACTTACTTTTCACTAGTGGAAAAAAAAGAGGAGAAAAAAGTATAGTAACTCCTTTTTCTTTTCTAACTATAGGAAGTGGTCCATTTGAAGTTAACAGCCTACCTTACTTAACATTAACCAACAAATTTTAACTTATAACTACTTCATTAATTAATGTGCAAAAATTTCTTCATTTGTGTTGTGTAATCTTGTTTAAATTCGCGTTACATTTATTGAATCGATGTGTCACGTGTCATGATTGTATTGATACACATGGCCGCGAATTCGTCATACCTTTTTTATTCTTTTTCCTTGCCTTAGCAGTATGGCATGGTAAGATTCTAACAATTATTTCTATTTCTTTCTTCTTTTAACTTATTCTGTAAGTTTATAATTGTGAGTACATGAGTTAGGTTTCTCATTCAAAATTGCTTCAGAACTCATTCATTTTGATGTGGTATTAAACAGAAAGACTTTAATGCCATTTAAGAGATTCTTGTGAGCTGCAAATCTGACCTGAGTTCAACTTTATCATTCCTCAATTCCTTATACATATCTTTTCGTCCTCAACACGTCCCAAGAAACAGTATATCAGATCAACAACAACAGACATCGAGTTCAATTATTGTTGAGAGGATTCAAAAGAGCCCAGTCTTGTATATCTATTGGTTAGTCACACTAATGTTTTTCCCTAATTTTTTTTGAGTTTCAATTTTATGGATGGAACTTTCAAGTTGCATATATATACCTAATTGTCTTCACAACTAGAATTAATGCATACAAGAAATGTTACACTTAGTAAAAGAATGTGGAAATGAGTAACATAACATTTTTTTTCTTGTTTTCTAATGAATATTTGTGTAATGAAGAAAGCAGTGATTAGTACTTGATCATCATGAACACAAAAAAGCAAGAAACTGGTGGGGGTGACACCAACAATAGTAAAACATCCTCAAGGACTACTATTAGTACTACTACATGTACTGCTACTACTCCATCAAGTACTTGTTCGAGGCAGTCATCGTCATGGGCAGCAGGGTTTAAAAATCCAAGAATTGTACGCGTATCGCGTACCTTTGGAGGGAAAGATAGACACAGTAAAGTGTGTACTGTAAAGGGATTAAGAGACAGGAGAATCAGGCTTTCAGTACCAACAGCAATTCAATTGTATGATCTTCAAGATAGGCTTGGGTTAAGCCAACCTAGCAAAGTTGTAGATTGGTTAATAGATGCAACTAAAGATGAAATTGATAAACTTCCACCTTTACAAATACCACCACCATCACTTTCTCATTTCTTCAATATGAAAGATCATCATTTAGATTTTGTTGATACTTCAGAAACAGGATTTGGAAAAGAGAAGTGGATTGCTACAAATGATCATGATCATCAAGAAAGTAGTAATCATAATTTCTTTCAATCTTCTAATTTAGGCATGTTAAACACCTTCAATAATAGTACTAATAATGCCTTGATTAGCCATAATTGGGAATTACCTAATTCAAATTTATCATTAGGTCCATTTGGAAATTACCAAGATCAATATCAACAACAAAATATGCCTTTTCCTTCAGGTTCTCATCATCAACATCAACAACTATATTTTTGTCCAAGTAGTAGTACTACTAGTGCTACAACATTGTCATCTCTTGTTCCTCCATATAATTCCCATTTCCATCAGAATTCGCTCACGCCAACTCTTCAGTTAATCAGTGTTCCAGTGAAATCTTCCTTCAGTTTGAATGACAATAACAAGGGGATCAACTTACAAGATCATCATCAACACAACCATAAAGAAGGCAGTGGTTCTTAAGCATATTATACAGCAATTGATACTGTAAGACATTATTCTATATATCTATCTTTTTTATGTTTATAAACTTTGTTGTACCACAATTTATGTGGTCAATATTAGTATATATAATTTGTTAGAAGCATAATTTTGATTATTTTGAGTGTGCACTTTGAGTTATATTCATGTGAATTTTGGTCTATGATTTGGTGCATAATGTAGTCTTTATATTGTAACTTAGATGTATTCTTTTGTAATATCCAGTTTAGAAAAAAAGACCTTTTGTAATATTTTTTTTTTACAAGTGTGAAGTTTTCCTAATTAATGATACAAGTGTGCTTTTATGTTTATCTTCCTCTTCTATTCTTTTTTGTGCCTTGTAGGATTTATGAAAACCTAACCTAATTAGTATCCCAACATAATTATATGCATTCTTACAGAAAGTTAGTGTTAGCAATTTTGTTAAAAGAAAATTAATAATAAGTATTTTAAATGAAAGGGTGTGTCTGTTCATTTTTTGGTTACTACTTCTTGTGATTTTCAAGATAACTTTTTTGGAGTATATCTTCTTCTTTTTTAATTTACAATATTCTCCAAAAAAATCTTTTCTTCTCCAATAGGCCGATCAAGTTCAAGTTCTTACCTAATTTCCAATAGAACTTCCTCATTATTTACACAGTGCAGAAAATTATAGGCTTGTGATCATATTTTACGTACAATCCCATAGCGATCTTGCAGAGAGGAGAGGGAACAAATATTATTTTCAAGAAAATATTTTACACGTATTTCAAGCCTTTAATTTTGTGTTTGTTGTTCATATTATATATGAAACCTTCAATTTTTATGTTTTTTCCTCGTATTGTTTGTGTTATTGGTATATATTTTCCAAAAATTTAATACTATGTCACGGATTTAGAGTCTCACTAAAGCTCCGTGCGGTACTTAACATGGCGGGTCATGACAACTATCTAACAAAAGTATATGTATAGTTCCTATGGAAATGGCTTAATCATTTTTCATGAAATAATATAACTTAATTAGGTTCAGACCCATTATGCTCTATTTAAAGTTATATATATATATATAATAAAGACTTATTACTTTTACTGCTCTCCATCTTTTCTGTTTTACTTTCTGCAAATTAAAGTAATTTTATGCGCCCCACATGCAGATAGCTTTGTGGATCCGTGATTTAAGTTTTAAGGATTCAACGTTTAATAAGGTTCTTGCATTAAATATATTATATTTTAAAAGTTATGACGTTAAATAGCAATAACAAAAGAATAACAATGTTATCATATCTTTTAGGGAGGTATATAATATATATATAATACCTGAATAATTAAAGCAATATAATATCAGTGATTATAACTAATCGATAGCGTCGAGAGAGTACTACAATGTGTATTATTAATACAATTAACATAATTAATACTTCGTTAAATGAAACATATTTAAGTATACATCCCCTCTGATCTGGGTTTTGTAATTTCTTACAAACCCTAGATATCGAAATTAATTACTCTCATCCAAAACAAAAACAAGAAAATCAGTTTCATGCCGTACAATACACTAACATTATGTAAGAATTATATATATATCCTCTGTAGAACTTTTCATTTTTCGAGACTCAAAACCATTTAAATTTGACTGGAAATTTGGGCGTAGAATCTTCAATTTTTTTAAAATGAAATTTTATATATTTGTAAACTACGTAAAAAGTATTATAAGTTATAATAATGGATGGAGGAGGGAGTAGATATATAACGATAGAAAAGAATGAGAACCCTAAGGGCATGCAGGCATGGAAGCGAGAAAAATTAAGAAAGGTTACGAGGCTTTTCCAAATTTAAAACTGATTGTATAAAAAATATTTACAAAATTATATTACTTATAAACTATCAATCTATAATTCCCTGATAGCGTAAAAAAAAAGAAGTTAAAAATTGTAATGCATGTGTGTGTATAATGTATAATATTATTATAAGTAACTTAAATGAATTTTGTTTATGTTGGAGACTTAGAGTGGGTGCAAAGGGAAATGAGATAATTAAACTATGGATGGATAGTGACTTATTGTACTACTTCCGTCCATTTTTATTTATTATGTTACACTTTTCAAAAGTTAATTTGACTTATTTTTAAAGTTAAATTATATTACATTAATTTGATATTTTAATTAACAAATTTAGATATTCAAAAACTATACGAAAAATATTATAAATTGTAATTTTTTATATATCAATATAATGAAAAAATACATCATAAAATATTAGTTATAATTTTTATAATTTGAATTTAAAAAGAAAATCATGACAATTAAAAATGGATGGACGGAGGAAGTAGTACTCAATTATGAGGATGTCATATCACTAGATCCAAGAAAATTTAAAGGAATGGCCCATAGCAGTTTTCACTTTTTCTAAAGCAGTGTAAGGTTTCTCACGTGGATGTGGTCCTCATATATACAAGAAAGAAGAAAATAATTTAGGGCATGGATACCATAAAAGAGAGAATTTATTTGAGTTTCTTACAATGATTATCTTAATTTGTTATTCATAAAAAAATAGTCTTATTATCTCCATGAAGCAATAATAAAATTTGCATACATTCTATCATCAAGATCGAGATTTATTGTTATACTAGAGAATGAGGATAGATTTATTTACAACGATGGCTGTGGGCTGTGGACTATCATCATAATTCATATATCCATCTACCACTAAACAAATAATAATTGTACTAATTAATAATAATAATACTAACTAATAAGAGGTGACAGACAAACCCTTAAATAGTAAAAGAGCATGCAAATTATTAGCCGGGCTAAACTTTTAGGAGGTTAAAAGTATTTATTTAGAAAGATGGTGTTTGACCAAATATTTTTTTCCTTATCGTACTTAATTTCTTGAAGAACATTTTTTAGAAAAAAAAATATTTTAAAGCACTTTCAAATAGTTTAGCTAACATTAATAGTTGCTCAAAAGTGTTTTAATTAAAAATTTAATGGCCAAACAAACTAATTCTCACCAAAAGTAATAATACTTTTTAAAATAAGCTAATTATATATATATATATATAAACGTTTCTTTTTAAAAAATATATTAATAGCCCCCGGCGAGGATCGAACTCGCGACCTTTCGCTTACGAAGCGAACGCACTACCACTATGCTACGGAGGCATTTTAATATAACAATATTAACTATATTTAATATTGGAACCAATAATTGCATCTATTTAACTCAAACAATAACTCAACGTACAACGCCAAATGCATCGACTTGATGGCTTCAGTCCCACAGAAGATAAAATTGGTAATACTAGCAAATACTAATGGCTCGTTTGGTACGAGGGATGAGGAATAACTAATCCCAAAATTAATTTTAAGATGAGTTTATTTCATGTTTGGTTAGGATAAAATCGCTGGAATAACTAATCTCGAGATAATTAATCCTGAGATAACTTATTAAAAAAAATGAGCCCTATCAGTAGGCATACTGGAGAAGGGTTTAGAGTTATAGGATTTGTCTGGGACCAATATGTTTCGTCCAACTAGTAACCAAAACTTGTTCAATAAACATCTAACTTGTTGAACAAATGTCGATACCAGACTCACATTTGTTTCAATCATTTGGCAGCCTATTTGAGGCTGATTGGCAAATCCACATCCATTCTTTTGTATTGTTCCTCAATTGTGTGAGGAGCAAAGTAAATACTCATACAAAAATCAGTAAATATATTTCTAATATTACCAACTGTAGCATACAAGAGAACAGATTAGTCTGCAAAGTCACAAGGACTACTACAAGTTTACAACACAAATGCTTGGTCATAAGGACTACTATAAGTATAATAGTTTCAAGTATAATACAACAAAACTTAGTCCAAATAGCTTAGCTGGGATAGAGATAACTAGATATGTTTGGGTTAGGGATAAGGTAAGTATATGCAAAATCTGTTCTTAGATGTGCCGGCTGAAAGTATACGCCCACAAAGCAAAGCCAAATGTTCTACTTTGTTGCCAGTATCCAAAAGCTATTGAGCCAAATATATTATGATACAAAAGGACACCCGTTGCAGAAATCGAGTCTTCTATCAATACCGACATTTATGAGTAGAGTATTTGTTAGCACCACTTTCTTGTGAATATGTAGCAGCTGCAATTACCTTACGATAGTAACGCCAAGATGCATTCTTATCAGTGATAGGTCGTTGACCATATGGATTATTCTCTACATACTTTTGAACATTTTCTGCCATGGACAATCTTTCAAGATAAACACGCAGATCACCACCAGGCCCTGCCGTGGGATAAACAAGATGAATTTCATAAACAGTATGAGTTGGACAAATGTTGATGACAGACCAACATCCCTACCTCATACAGGACAGAATGACACAGTGTTAAAGCAGTTATATTAAGTAATGTAAATTGCTTTAATTACATAAAACTCGAGGTATGAATTCCAGGAACTGCAAAGCGAGGAACTATCAACAACAATCTAAAAGGCTTGTACAAAAAGGAAAGCACAAGAGAAGAGGGCAGTATCAATATGCATGGTTCACCCGAAAATATACATGGAATACTTGGGGTGTCCAAATATCACCAGTCTCTCAATGAAAAAGGGCGAAGAAGTCCATAGTACTTGTGATAGTTTTGCAAGGAAAAACACACACACATGCACACATACGAACACACATAGGAAGGAAACTCACCTAATGAGTCATCTTTCTCATCCAAGTAGTGGTATGAATTTGGAAATATTGCTGTATTTGGCTGAAAATCATAAAATACAAGTTGAAACTCATTGGATTTTAATCATGCAGTAAATTTCTCAGGCAGAAGAAAGGATTAAAACTCACCGGATTACACAATGCTTTGTGCGGAGAGTCGTCCAATAGAAGTGTGTTTGACTCATCATATTCGCCCCTCTCCCACGGAAGATCTGGTTCGTACTTATCCCATAACTTTTTTAGCTTCTTCAATATAATAGGCTTGCTCCTCCTTGTCCCAACAACAGGAAAACCTGTATCAGTGCAGTGGGACTGATCCTGCATAATTAGTTTCAAGTTTGTTTATACTACTTTGAATTAGACAAGTGAAAGAGGCAAATAGGAAACTAGATGAATAAAAATACAAAGGGAAAAAAAGTGGCTT